CTCTTGACAGTAAAGTTTGCCAACCTCTGATCCAGAAAAGAAGAATTTGGGGATGGAGAATAAATAACTTTCTTCAAGACTCATTTCACTTCTTTACTCACTCTTATTGGTCATAAACAAGCACCAGGGATGTGGAAAGGACCATGCTCAGTGCTGGGGGCGAGGGGGGGGAGCACAGAATCAGAGAAGGTTCCTTCCTGAGGTTTGGTGTGTGTGTCATCACAATTTAAATAAATCCCTGTCCTCAAGGAGCTTATAACCTGGGGGGGGGGCAGACAGATCGCTAAGGATTGTCGGGAAGAAAGAGCAGATTCATTCTGTGGTCGTTCCAAGAATAGAATTCGATTAGAAGTCACTGCAGATAAACCGCAGATAGAAGTTAAAGTTCACGATGAGAAGATACAAGAAAGCTGACTTCGCTGCGATACAAAGAAAAGCTCGAAATAACAGGGTTATCTCTTCAAAAACTGGCTGAACTCATCTGGGAAGGGGTGAGCCACCCATCCGTTCCAGGAGCACTCAGGAAGCGTCCCTGTTACGCATCTGGCTGAGGTTGGGCATCTTGGACCAGCACAGAACCGAAGAACCAGCCTGCTGCCTTCCTGTGGTGCCTCTGAACCTAAGCTGAGACGTGAGGGTCAACCAAGCATCTGCGGCCTGAGGGCACCAGCGGACTGGGACTTCCCTGTACTAGGCAAATAGCTTGTCGTGGCCCCCATCCACCTACTGTGGAACCCCAGACTCCTGAGCTTTCTCTGGGGGCCCAGCATTTGTCCTGGTCCCCTCTTCCTTCGTGGTCCTCATGGCCACTGACTCCTCTTCTGGAGCTCTGTGCCTCCCTGATCAGGCTGCTACAGTCCTCCTTCCGCTTCACTGTGTGCCAGCCGAGCACCCAGTCCTCTATTTCGGAGCACACTAATACCAGGCCGGGGTGCGCGTATCAAAGCTTTAGGAGCCAGATCACACAGCCCAGCCCGGAAGAGACAACGGCATAAGCTTGAAATACCAGACATCACTGTGCACACCGTAAGGAGCTTCTCCTCGCGGGGTCTGTTCCACCCTCGGGCACCACTGTTTGTCTGGTGTTCCCGGCACCTCCCCTGCCCTCTCCCTCCTCCTTCTGGCCTCTGGATTCCCGCAGCCTGCGTGTCTTGGGCCCATCAAATGCAACATTCCACTTTATTTTCATTCGTGCCCAGCAATTCAGTTTCCTGTCTGCCCCTGCACACCCAAGGCCTGTTTTTTTTTCACCCAGAGATGCGTTAAAAGCATTTTCTTTCACAAAGGAGAACTGGCCACCTAGAGATGCTGCCTCTCTACAACATCTCAGTTGTGGGTTCTTGGAGTCTTTCCCCCGCTCCCCAAATCGGAAAGAAGCAGATTTCCCAATTAAGCCGAGAAGCCTTTTTCTTTACATCTAAAGGGAAGCGGTTGGTCTCCGGGCGGGCCCCGGAGTGCAGGTGCTACGACGTATACCTCCATCCACCCCTATCTGTGCGCACCTGGATCCCCTAAGACACATGCATCTTTCTCCCCAGCAAACTCAGGGGCCGTGGGGACCAAAAAAAAAATCGTAGATAATGTGTTTCTATTTCTTAGCTGAGAAGGGAAGAGAATGTTCTCATTAGAGAAGTCAAAATCCAGAAAAATAGGAAATTCTGTCCTGGCAACTCTGAGCATTTTCTTTCAGAGGCTGGTGTTTTCGTTCTTTTTCCATACCTTCACATTTTCAGTTCTCCACACTCGGGGTCATTTAGTGAGACCAGACAAAGTCCGGGAGAGAGGGTGGCAGGCACCCTCGGCGGAGCTGAGTAACCATCCGGCCCTGAAAGTGAGCCCAGGCCCTCCGGCCCGGGGTCTAAAGGAAATCAGGCAGTGAGACTCTAGAGGGTGGAATTTTATTTGTTCCTCCTTTTTCTTTTTCTTTTCTTTTTTCTTTTTTTTTTTTAATTTGTTTTTCTAAGACTCTGCGCCCGAGTTTATCTGCTGCAGTTTGGCACTCTTTGCCCTGAGCTTTCAGAGACAAAGACTCAGAGAAGGAAAGAGGAGAGGACAAGTGAACCAGGAGGCCCAGGAGGTGGAGCCAGAGGGATAAGAAAAAAGATGCCCAGGCGTGTTTTATCAAACAGGAATGCTGCCCGAAGAAAACTTGCATTTGTAAAAGGTGCTGCCAGCTGGACTGACCCTACTCCGGGGGACCCCTGGGGACCACTGAATTCGTCAGAGGTCCCCAAGGCTGCTCCTCCTCAGTCGGCATGTGGCAGAGATTCAAAGGGTGGAGTCCTCTCTCCTCTGGAAAATATCTGATAAAATTCTTTTCCCTTTTCTTTTTTCCCCCTCTTACATGTAGCCCCAGACAGGATATGGGTGTGGGGTCAGCATGCACGAAGGACCCAAAGGAAGAAGAGGAATGTGAAGGGAGGAGGGCCTGGGGGGTGTCCTTATGGCAAGAGGAAGGATAGGCCGCGGAGGGCTTACAGGGAACACATACCCTGAGCCTGACCCACATGGGGTTTCCTAATAACCTGAAAGGTGTCTCTTCCCAGTTGGTGGCATGGCAGTCCTGCCTGGTGGCCTCTCAGTTCCCACTCCGCCTCTGGTCACCACCCAGGGCAGCCCCATCCGCCACAAGAAGAGCCTACTTCTGGCTGGCTGCTGTGCCCATCCTTCTGCCAACTTCTCACGGGGACAGAAAGACCTCCCCAGAACAAAGCTCTCTGTCAGTGTACAGGACACAAAAACTACAGAACCCCAGGGGTCCTAAATTTTGCAGTAAAAAGCACAGATTTCCTGCAATGTCCTTCCATTAGCATTTCAAGATACGATCACTCACTTATTTATCTCACGATGTATGCCAGGACAGAAAAGGACTCCCAGTATTAAAAAATAAATAAATAAACAAACCCTAGAAAGTTCTCAGGGAAGACAGAAAGCTCCAGACTGGCCCAAGTGATCTAGCAAGATTGAGAATAGGGAGCCATGCCTGAGCTGTCACCCCCAAAGCTGAGACAGTAGAATTCTCAGCATAACTGGCCCAGATTTTGCAGGAGTTAAGCTGCTTCCCCCCACCTCCTGCTATGGGCCAAGGCGACACTGAAACTGGCCAGCTGAAGAAATTACAAAAAAAAAAAAAAAAAAGGGTGGGCCTCACTCGGCCGGGGACCAGGTCATCACACGCTGTGTAGCCAAAGCAGAGTGGAACATCTGATCAGCTGTGTGTCAACTCACCCTTGTTATGAGGGTGCCTCTAGCATCCAGGGGACTTCCCTGGTCTAGGGCCTTGGCATCTCGGTGACAGTTTTTCCCCTGCCCCAGAGGGCAGGTCTGGGGGCTGCCAAACTGGTCAACCCAGAACCTAACTTAGAGCTTTCTCAAGCCAGGAGTCTCTCTTCACCTGCGTGGGCCCAGAGGGGGACAGCAGGGGACACGGAGGGCAAACGGGCTTAGCAGGGAGGCCCAGGGCACCCTATGGGGCCATGGTGGGTGGCCTTTAGGATGCAATAAGAGTAGGGAATTGGGAGCTCTAGAGGGCTGGAAGTAGAATCTCGACCAAAAGGGGGAACAATGTACAAAGTTTGAAACCTTCTAAACGGGATGAGAAGGAGAATGTTATTCCCAAGTGAAAGCGATTAAGAACAAATACTTACTGAGCGTCTATTATTTCTTTTTCAAAGTGAGAACAAGCGGGGGTGAGTGGAAGAGGGGCCACCAGGCTGCTAACTCCCTAGTTTTCGAACTTGGACGGGGGAGGGGGAAGAAAGCCCCGGACATAAGGAGTCTGAGCTGCTGCCAGGGTGGGGGCTCGCGAAGGGGAGGGGGCGGCAGGGCGCACGACGAACTCCGGTGACCGCCACCTTCCCTGCGTTGTCAATTTAACTTTCGGATCTTAAATGCAGGGATTTTTTTTTTTTTTTCGTTTTCAGGGACTGTTGTTCATTCCACACGCCCCTGGTCACTAACTCAGCCTGACTCCCGGGCCTCCCGCCGCAGGTTGGCTCCCGCTCCTTCGAGGTCCACCTGGGGCTTGCCCGGTCCCGGGGCTCGGGTCCCGGGGCTCGGGGTCGCCTGCGCGCCGTCCCCAGCGGCCGCTCGGGCCTGGGCTTTGGGCATCAACCCGCAGGCGCAAAACTTTCCTGCGTCTCCCCCCTCCCCCCATCCCCCGCTCCGGGCTGCGGCTCCAACTGCGCTCCGCACCTCCGGCCTCCCGGACGGACGCGGGCACCCTCGCAGCGCGACGCCCCGGACCGCGGCGCCCGGCCGGCCTCCGGGGAGCCCAGGGCGCGCCGCCCCGCTGACACCTGGCCGGCCACCGCGTCGCCCGCCTCGCCGCGCCCGTCCGCCCCACCGCTGCCCAGGTGCCGCGCGGGACCCGGCGGGCGGGGCGCGCTTCCAAGGGCCCTGGGTCCCCGCGGAGCCCGGAGCGCCGCGGGCGTGGGGCTTGGGTGGGGGCCCGGCCCTCCGCGCCCCCAGCCCGGGGCTCCGCGCCCCCCGACCCCCCCAGCCCGGGGCTCCGCGCGCCCCACCTCCGCGCCCCCAGCACGGGCTCCGCGCTCCACTTTCGCGCCCCCAGCCCGGGGCTCCGCGCTCCACCTCCGCGCCCCCAGCCCGGGGCTCGGTGCGCTCCCCACAGCCCGGGCTCCGCGCCCCACCTCCGCGCCCCCAGCCCGGGGCTCCGCGCTCCACCTCCGCGCCCCCAGCCCGGGGCTCCGCGCGCCCCCCACAGCCCGGGCTCCGCGCCCCACCTCCGCGCCCCCAGCCCGGGGCTCCGTGCGCCCCACCTCCGCGCCCCCAGCCCGGGGCTCCGCGCGCCCCACCTCCGCGCCCCCAGCCGGGGCTCCGTGCGCCCCCCACAGCCCGGGCTCCGCGCCCCACCTCCGTGCCCCCAGCCCGGGGCTCCGTGCGCCCCACCTCCGCGCCCCCAGCCCGGGGCTCCGCGCCCCACCTCCGCTCCCCAGCCCGGGCCCCCCCGCCCCCCGCGCGGGCGCGCGGCCGGTACTCACGCAGCAGACTGAGCAGGCAGAGCGCGGTCCAGCCCCGCGGCAGCCCGCCGCCCGCGCGCGCGCCCCTGCCCGCCAGCATCCTTCCCGCGCCGCTCGGCTCGGCTCCGGACACACGCGCTCGGCCCCGGGACGCGCCGCCGCCCGCCGCCCGCCGCCCGCCGCCCTCCGCCCTCCGCCCTCCGCCCGGAGCGGGGTGGGCGAGCTGGCTGTCTCTCCCCACCCCTCCCTCCGTGTTCCTGGCAAGGCCGGCCCCTCCGCTTGGCCGCCGCCACCGCGAGCGCTCGGCTCAGCCCCGCAGGCGGGGGACGGGAGCGGGGGCCGGGGTTGCCGCCGCCCTGGAGGCCGAGGGGGGAGGAGGCTGTGCGGCCCCGACGCCTCGCTGCACCTTATATAGAGGCCCCGTCTACTCCTTCAGGCTCCACTTCCACCCCACTCTTAACCCCTTTGTGTCGGCCTGGCGGGCGCCGGGTCGGGGTGGGGGGGTCGGGAGGGGCGGGGGGCGCAGGGGCAGGTTTCCAATGAGTTCTCGGCGCCCGTCTTCTCTCCTTTTTGTTTCTCTTTATTTTTAACTGTAAGCCCAGAACAGTCTTGCCGAAGGACTCTACTGCGAGGGCCCGAGTATACGAGTGTGAGCATTTTGCTAATCAGGTAAAAACTGAGCCCACGTCCAATCTGATGCATTTAATGACAGTCACCCCAGAGACTGTGCTGCATGGTAATGAAGCATAAAGAGTGAGCAGGACACATAAACGACTGTGATTATTCATTTTACCCGTCCAAACCATCCTTGTGGGTTTTCTTTTCACTCCCCCCCCCCCCGCAGGACCTATTTGTGTTCATCTGGAGGGGTTTTCCCTGTGACCGTCCCTAATTTTCCACACAGTTTTAGCCCATCACCATCACCATAAAGAGAAGGACTCTCCTGGTGCAGAGGTCCGCCCTTCTCCAGGCTCCCCCTCTCCAGCTCTGGGTCTGTGACTCCACAGGCTTTATCTTGCTCCTTCATCAGGAATAGGACTCCCGCCCCACCACCACCCCACCCTCTACTGCCTGACTGCCTCTACCCTGACACCCTCTACCACTGGCCCCTGCCTCTGGAGCTACCTATTTCTCACGGGTTGTTCTAGATGTTGGTCTGCTGAGCTGCACGAACTCTGAGCTGGGCGGGCAGCCTAGTCTCAGATTGGATTGGATGGGGTGTGGGTAGAGGCTGGAGGAGGAAGGGGCTGGCAGGAGCAGATGATGGCACCAGGGAGGAGTAAGATAAGGCACAGTCTGGGAACGTGCTCTGAGGTCCTGAAAGGAATCACAGGGTGTCACAAATACCCAGTCCACTCTCCTCCATGATGTGGGCACCACATAGCCAATTAGGGAAGAAGGATTGTCAGACCAGCACCCCCCCCACACACTGATCTTTCCTGATTTACTTGTCTGCAGCCTCCCCAGCATCATGAAAGTAGACTTATCTTTACGGTCCTTCTCTGATCTATGATTATTCGGTTTGTACAGAAGTGGATCGAGATCTAAATACAAAAGCCAAAGCTCTCTATTCTGAACTCGTTGGCTAACTTTGCTTTAAGTAGGAAACAATGCCTTTCATCACACAATCAAACCAAAGGCTAAAGATGCAAATTGGATAGAACACAATGGTACGGTATGAATCTGTTTCAAAGCGCAAATGGTGATTTGGGCAAATGGTGATTCGGGTCTGACCACATGATGATCTCAAAGGCCTGCAGCTGGGACAGAAATGGCTGAAAAATACATTTTAAAATCAGGCCTTTGTCCTTGGGACTCCCAGTTAATAGAGAAAAGAGGTTAGCTGCTTTCCCACTCCCTCTCCCAACTTCCCCCTCAATTTGCTCAGCTCCAGGACCTGGGGCTGCTTCACATCTAATGAGACGTTGTGAAGAATACAAGAGCCTACAATCCTTGCTAGATTGGAAAACCAATTTGGCCCATGTGGCTCTTCCTTCATTCTTTTTTTTTTTTTTTGATAGAATATTTTTTTGAATTTTATTTAAATTCAATTTGCCACCATAGAGTATACACCCAGTACTCATCTCATCATGTGCCTTCCTCAATGCACATCACCCAGTCACCCCATTCTCCCACCCCCATCCACTTATGTCACCCTTTGTTTCCCAGAGTCAGGAATCTCCCATGATTTGTCTTCCTCTCTAATGTTCCCCTACTTGGGAATGCAAACTGGTGCAGCCACTCTTCCTTCATTCTTAGTAGATTCTTCTGGTTACTTCAAATGCCATTTGTCTGCCCTCTCTGGACCACAGGAGGCAGGAAAGGACTTGTCTCTAGCACTTGAATTTCTTGACTAGCTTTGATGCAGAGCTTCTCAAAGTGTGGTCTACACAGAATCAAGGTTAAGGTCCGGGAGTCTGCACTTTTGGTAGGCACCGTCCATGATTCTTATGCACACTGAGTTCAAGAAGCCCTGGGACGCCTGGGCGGCTCAGTGGTTGAGTGTCTGCCTTTGGCTCAGGGCGTGATCAAGGTGGGGTCCTGGGATCGAGTCCCACATAGGGCTTCCTGTATGGAGCCTACGTCTCCCTCTGCCTCTTTCTCTCTCTCTCTCTCTCTCTCTCTCTCTCTGTGTGTGTGTGTCTCATGAATAATTAAATAATCTTAAAAAAAGAAGAAGAAGAAAAAGCCCTAGTTTAGAAAGACAACTTGCTAGGTGCAAAGTGGATGGCAGACTTCAGGGAGAAAACAATAGGAGTAGAGGGATGGGAGGCCAGCTCATCTCTTCCTCTAAGAAGCCAGAGCTGTTCTCCAGTCTGCAGCACAACTTTGACACTAGGTGGTAACTGACTACGCTTCCTATTCTCCAGGGTCATTGAGACTTACCACTTCAAGCACATACAAGCTCCCCCAACTACCCACAGCCTCGGGTTTGGTCTGGCCACTGGCCACAAATCCATCCTGGGGCCCCATAGTGTTACCTCATAGTCAGACAGAGGTAAACTCTCCAGTCTCTTCAAAGCTCTCACCTTCCTTGGCTGCGCCTTGGTGTCTCTGCCCCCCCACCTTCATGACATAAGCTGGTGCTAGAAGAGGATGGTAACTACACTGCACATAGTGGAGGGTCCAACAGAAAGATCCAGAGTGAGAGGCACTGTCAGGCCCATTAACTAGACCTCTAGTTAATGACCACCCTTACCATGAAACATTGCCCCACCTCAGCCCCAGCACACACACACACACACACACACACACACACACACACACACATCATATCAATCAATTTAAAATAGACCCTCATCTCATGTTAAATGGAACTTCTTTGATGGAAAAAAGAAGAAAAAGGAAATGATTTCAAATTTTTTTGAGTTTTAAAGTACATTCTTCATTTGGCTCTCATAATTCAAACTTTATTGCATTTATATAAAACTGTTAAAGAGTTGGATTGTGGTTTACAAGTTGGCTAAGTTTGCCTTTTACGGACAGTTAATAAAACTTTTGTTCATTTTGATTTTCCAATTTCGCATCTTAGAACCGACACCTTTTCCCCACGTTGCGAACTTGTTTTGGCTCTTTGGAAGCTCTCAGGGTTTAGATTTCAGTTGAGCAGGGAGGGAGCCTTGGTGGCAGGGGTGTTCAGATGCCACAGGGAGGCCACGAGGACTTGAACTCAGAAGTGTTTGTAGATTCTTTGCATTTTCTATATAAAGGATCCTATCAGCTGCACATAGTGACCTCTCGCCTCCCGATCTCTCTCCAGTGTCTCCTCTTGGGAGAATCTAACTGGAAAAAAAACTGAAAGGGGAGGGAGTCTGGAAAAATACAGCATGTGGATGCCCAGCCCCAGTCTCCTGGGGGACGTTAGGTCCACGTAGTGGTAGCCTCCAGGTACACCACAGGCAGCTGTAGAGGCCACAGACCAAGAAGGCTCAGGCCAAATTATAATGATCAGATCACAAGGGTTATTGAATCTACTTAAAACATACAGCCAGAAATAAGAGGAAAGGGTTGGGGTGGGTTAACCTGCTTGGGATAGGGAGCAAGCAGAGTTAGTGAACCCCACCGCCTTGTGTTATGCTCTGACAGTTTAGTTGTAAGGACCAGAACGGACATTAAGTAAGAGATTCGTAGATGAACATGGTTGGAACCAGTGCTGCAGCCAAGGCTTGCTGTGTTGGGAGGTGCAAGGGCAAGTGGGCCTGGTCACAGGTCTACTCACACAGCTAGTCAGTGCTCTGTGCAGCCATCCTTTCTGCCAGCATTTCTGGGGCAGAGCGTATAGGGACCGAATGGTGTCACCAATAGGTAGACAGTTGAGGTAGATAATGACCCGGCTGTCAGCCCTGAGGTGGTATGCTCTCTACCTCTCTGTCCCTTTCCACCTGTAAGTAATACTCTTGTTCGTTCCATTTTTTTTTTACAATACATTCCATTTAGTTTATTTTTACCTGTCTTTGCAGATTAGAAACTTCCTACCATTTTTAGCACATCTGAATTCTGCCCATGACTCACAAGACTTGTTTGCTTATTATCTGTAGTTAATCCAGCTGATGAATTTTGCCCATCCTGTTTGCTTTGCTTGGCCTTTGGAGAGGAATTGAATATTCTCATCTAATGGAGCAAACACACACTATCTCTCGCGTTCTAGAGAAGAGTTTAGAAATGTGGGGTTGGAACTAAGAGACTCAGGGTAAGTAATTGGCACTAATCCAATGTCATATATTTTTCATACAGAGAACTACTTTCCCTGCTCTGCTTGCTGAGTATCTTCTGCTTTCCCTTCTGGTCTGAAATGCCATTTTATCATATGCCAACATTTTATATAAAGGAGGGCCCGTTCCTGGACTCTCTCTGTTGGTCACCATATGTGTCCCACCACCTTTACCACCGTCTTCTCTACTACAGCTTTCAGAAAGTCCTGATAGGAGTAGGGCAAGGGAAGACCCTAATTTTCTTCAGAAAAGTGGCCTGGCTACTCTCAGCTCTTTAGTCTTCCTTGTGTATTAGAATCTGCTTATCAGGTTCTTCCCCCAAAATAGCTTTTGGGATTTCGATCAGAACTTCTCTGTAGATTAATCTGGAGAGAACCAAATCTTTCCCTCAGTGAATTTGGCATAGCTTTGCATTGTTTGGGTCTTCCTTAAGGCTTCTGATTTTCCTGCAGTGGTTTTAATTCATCTTTGTAGATTTATTCCTAGATGATGGATGTCCTCTAATGCTATTATAAATTGTATCTTCTTTTTAATTATTTTTGTTGTTGGTGTATGAAACAATTCATTTTTTAATATTAATCTTCTATTGAACTACCTTGCAAAATTCTCCTATTATTTTTGTAGATTCTTTGGATTCTTTATGTAAAAGGATCATATCAGCTGCATATAGTGATAATTTTATTTCTTCTTTCTAATCCTTCTCCCGCTGAATTATTACTTTGCTAAGGCAGTGTCCTGGCAAGAACATTCACTACAAGGATTAAAGATGTAGTGATCCTATACATCCTTGCCTCACTCCAGATTTTAAAAGCTAATATTTGTTTAGCTTAAATCTTTTTTTCAAAGATTTTATTTATTTATTTGACAGAGAGAGAGAGAGAGAGAGAGAGAGAGAGAGAGAGCACAAATAGGTGGAATGGCAGAGGGGGAAGGAGGAGCAGGCTCCCCGCTGAACAAGGAGCCCAGAGTGAGACTTGATCTCAGGACCTGGGGATCATGACCTGAGCCGAAGCCAGATGCTTAACCAACTGAGCCACCGAGGTGCCGTGCTTAATTTTTCATATGTGCTTTGTATCATGCTAAACACATTCCTTTCTATTCCTCATTAACTAAAAGCTTTCTTTAATAATGAACTTACTATGATTTTTTTAAATGTCTTCTCTTGATCTATCAAAATGATATATATTTTTCTCCTTTATTATGGTAGTATAGTGAATTACATTTATAGATTTTCTAACATTAAACCAACTTTGCAATAAGCCCGACTTTGTCATGGTTTATTATCATTTTTATACACTGTAGAATTTAATTTGCGAGTCCAATTTTCTCTTTATGATTTTTGCTTCTGTATTCATAAATGAAATGAGCCTGTATTTTTTCCTTCATCACTATGTCATTGTTTGATTTTTGTATTGGGGTTATAAAGTCCTTATAGAATGAGTTGGAGAGTATTTCTTTTCTTTTTTCTCTCTTCTATCCTCAGGAAGAGTTGTTACAAGATTGGGATGATTACATCCTTAAAGATTTGTTGGAACTTGCCTATGAAATCATTTGGGCCCAGTATTTAGCATGAGACTATTTTAAAATGCTAATTCCATTAGTTGTTATGAGTTCTCAGTTTAAAAACATTTCTTCTTGAGCAAGTGTTATTATTTTCCTAGGCAGTTACATATTTATCAAAGTTTTCAAATTGTTATTGACAAAATTCCTTCTGCCTCATTAATCTGCACTTTATCTGGAGTATGTCCCCTTTTTAATCATCACTTGTGAATAATTTGTGTCTTAATTTGTTACAATTTTTTTAATTACAGAAGTTTTCAAATTACTTTTGGCTGTATATGTATGTATACATGAACTATATATTGAAATAACATCCCTCCATTGCATTTGAGTGGGCGGGGCTGTCCTTAGAAGGGAGTGAGTTTGGGCTGACCACCCAGTGCAGGCGCCCAAGATAATCTTTCACAGGCCCCTTGGGATATCATTAAAGGCAAAAATATAATGATGGTTAGAAAAGAGGAAGAAAATGTGATGTCTCATTTTCCCTTGCCCTCCAAGTATTGGCCTTGGGCCACAATCTCAGTTTTGCTCCTAAGGGACAAGCTCTTCAGTCAGAGAGCAAGGCTCTGATAGTTCAGCTAGACTTGCACACACCTCTTCTGTGCATTGTTGCAGCTGTTAAGAGCTGGTGATACGTAAGTGGGAAAAAAAGCATGTCACCGTGTGATGCTATTTTATTGTGTGAAGTGATAACATGCATCCGCACGTACACGATGATTGTCTCTGGTGGCAAAGTTATGGCTAAATTTCACTTTCTTTTCCACTTCTGTGGGCAGCCTGTGCATTTGGTTTTTACAATAGCTGTGCATTACTTTTACAAAGATAATAAGCAAAACTATTTTCGTTTTGAGAAGGTAAAAGGCACCGCATATAATCAATTCATATAGTCCTTTCTTTTAGCTCTGCTAGGTCCTGGGTTGTCTATGGGAGCAGCCTTGTGATCACTGAACACAGCTTGGCTAAAGGAGGAACACGTCTGTGATGAGGACGACTTGGATAAGGCTCTGTTAAGTCCTGGGAAGCAGCGCCCTGAGAAGGGTCAGACATGCATTGTTTGCATCCATGAGCGTGGCTGTGCTTCTGGTATTGTCTCTGCTCATTTCCCTTGTGTCCTTTCTAGGCTTTCAATAAATCTTCCTCACAGCGGAGGCCTAGCTGAGCATTGCTCATGAATGCTGGTGGATAGTGTTTATGTTTGCATTAAGCCAGACTATCAAAGGAGGTCCAGGCTACCCTGGGGGTCAGAGTGTAATTGATTCAAGAAAATTCCAAGATGAAGGATTTATGGAGAAACAAAAGTGGAGCCACTTAGCAAACTGCCATTTTGGCTTGGAAATACTGTGTGACGCTACCTGAAGGTAGGTGTAGGGAAGCAATTTCCTTCATTAGAGGGCCCAGGAAGCACCCCCTCAAGGGGCTGGATCACCTCGCACACAATATTGCATCTAGTTCATAGGCCAATAGGCTTGAAAATCCAGAGACCCATCAATCTTCATCTCTGCAAACCCAAATGGAGAGCGTTAATAACATACATCTTATGGAAGCCAAAGCAAAGAGGGTGGCTATTTTTAACTCAGGGCAGGAAAATGTGGCTGGAAAGGAAACATCTGTCCTAAGCTATTGACTCTTATGCTTTGTGTAGAGGTCTTTTCTGTCTTGAAACCATCAAAAATAAAATAAGGTGCTTGGTCCAGCCCTGGCTCTGGAAGAAAAGGGCTAAGCATTCCTCACTTCTCATTTCTCCCACTTCTCAACTCCTGCATTGGACCTGTGGCCTGGAAGAGACCACCTCGGAGGCAGAGGGTTGGCTCAAGAGTGGCCCGATTCCTGGGAATTTTGGGGAACTCTCCTAGTTTAGCATCTTCATCCAAGATGGCCTCACCCTTTAGGGTTCAAAATTTGCACACTCCCTAGCTGGGGGGTCACCAGGGGTCTTATACTGGGAGAAGACCTCCGAGTGCCAGAATTACTTTCCTTGGCAGTTCTGGCTGCTGCCTTCTGAGCAAAGAAGATGTTCCTTCTTTTAGGGGCAGCAAGAAAGCTCCCTTTCCTCCAAGACAGGCCAGGCTCCGATGCATCTAGCTGGGTAAAAGGGGCAAATGTGAACTCGGAAAGGTTCAGAGACCTCTTTTTGTCTCCGTAGAGACATTTTTCATCACTTTGGAACATACAGAGTAAGGCTGGATTTACTCGTCAAGATGAAGGCTCGAGGTGAAGCACCTGATGGAGGAGGAGGGTTGAAGTAGATAGTGCTCAGGTGGTGCACTGCACAATCCAGCAGCACCAACCACACATATTTGAGGGATGCACAAGATCTCCCTGGAGTGGCTAGAGATGGAGAAGAGGAGGAGGAGCAAGGCTGAGTACATAGCTGGTTACGGAGCTCCTAGTTTTTGTCTTGGGCAACTGGCCACTATAGTTCTACATTCTTTCTTTCTCTTATCTTTCACTCTTTCTGTCCCCCTCTCTTTTTCTCTGTCTCTCTCTCCTTCTCTCACAACTTCTTTCAGTTTTTAGCCAAAGACTGAATGAGGAAAGAAACAATTTTTGTTTTCCAGATTGGGTAGAGAGTTAGTTGCCAGGAGAAGTGACCGGGGAAGAACAAGAATAGAGGAGCCTGGCCAGATCTGCTCATTCTCTCTCCTGGTGCACTCCCAGCAGAGCAGTGTCAGAGCGGCAGGGCTTGGAGGGTGTGAAACAGGCTTGCCAAATTGCATGAGTCTCTAAAACGATCCATATGTCTGGACTGCACCAAACTTCTGAGCTCAGGGAGGGGGCTGATAACATCATCTACTGGATGGGAGTACAGTACTCTTCCTTTGGGGAAGATTGCATGTCAGCCTGACTAGATGCTGCTAGACTTATAATGATCCAGGTTTGGGAACTCAGGGTGCAAGTACTCAGGGTGTGGAGGAAGAAAGAGGAGTGGGGAGTAGCACGAACAGGAAAGAAGAAGTCTCTAAGCCAGAGTCTATGAACCATTCAGTAGGAAAGGAGTTTGGAAGCCCCAGGATATGGAGTTTCCTTTAAAATTTTTTCCACACCAGGAGAGAGTTTTGGGGGAGCCACCGTGCAGATGGAGTCCAGGCTATTTGCCTACTTTGTGGGAAGACTAGACTTATCCCTGCAATTCACCCTCCAGAGCCAAAGAAGAGTCACTGTCTTTGCCTCACTTCCTTAACCCCCGAACTGTAGCCTCCTCTGGGGTGGAGGGTAGCAGATGGTACACAGCTGTGGGACACATCTGGTTTTGGAGGGATCAGAGGAAGACACAAAGGCCAGTTGAAATCCCAAGGGCTACCCTGGAGGCATGTCTCCAAAGATGGGGTGGTGCCCCTGACACTCTACCCAGATCCCATCTTGGACAGGCTTCGTGTTTTTCCTTAGTCCTCCACGCCTTCACTCCACTCCAGCTTCAACTGGATTAGACGATGATTTTGCGAGAGTGGCCAGGCAGCTGCTTCCCAGATGTGTGTTTTCTCCAGAGATGGCCACATCCAAACCGGGGAGCTTTGGAAGGGCTGGTTGGGGACAGGGGCAGTCTCCAGGATGTGTTGACCTAGGGGAGCAAGTGCAGGGACCATCTGAAGACCCCACAGTAAAACCAGAGGATTAGAACGCAAGAGGGAGTGGGAAGGTCCTGGAGTGTACTCAGCTCTTGTCTCCAAAAATCTGTGTCCAAACATATGACTTTATTGAATTTGCCAAATAATCTGACTCATTGCGTGTGTGTGTGTGTGTGTGTGTGTGTGTTTGCTCACAAGTAGAACATAATCTTCAGAAAAGTCTACTGCTTCTCTGTATCTCCTGCATTTTTCTCTCAGAATACCAGTGGCCTCTGATCTGGTCTCCTTCGGACCATTCTGGAGTTTCCCCTGTTCATTCTTCACGCGGCAGGCAGGGATAATATGTTTAAAATGAAAACTGGGCCATTTCATTCCCCCACTGAATACCTTTCAATGACTTCCCTTTGCTCCAAAGCAAAGTGCAAACTGCTCACTGTGGCCAATCAGATCTAAAGGGGCTGGGCTTCACCTTGCCTGTCAGCCTGGGCTCTCAGGCTGGCCCCTTTACCCCCTCTCCCTGTCACTGGCTGTCTCAGGTTCCTAAATCTTCCCAAGGTCTCTTCCAACCTCAGGTCTCCACCTGAGCTGTCCCTTTGCCTGACTGCTCCTCCCAGCTGATTACAGCCCCCCTGTAAGCCGGCTCCTCACCTTCTGGTTTTCCCCACCTGCCCCACTGAAACTAAGCCCCCCCACCCAAGTCCTTTCCATTGTGTCTTACAGAACCATCTTTTTAAAACCTCAGTCGTGGGGCACCTGGGTGGCTCAGGGGTTGAGCATCTGCCTTTGGCTCAGGTCATGATCCTGGGGTCCTGGATCGAGTCCTGGATCCAGTTCTCTGCAGGGAGCCTGCTTCTCCCTCTGCCTATGTCTCTGGCTCTCTTTGCGTGTCTCTCATGAATAAATACATAAAACCTTAAAATAAATAAATAAATGAATGAATAAAACCTCCATTCGTAGTACCTATCCCATTTTACAGTCACACATTTCTTGTTTATCACCTGTCATCCCCATTTGGCTGTAAGCAGCAGGAGGATGGAAGCCATGTGCATTTGTGCCCGGGTGCAATGCAGGCCTGTAGCAGACCCTCTGGATGTTTCCTGAATGAATGAACGAACTGTGGCTTTATTTTCTTGTCAGTATTCTCTGCTTTATTGGTTCACAAATATATTTTTATTTCACACATCAATCAAAGATATTTTAAGGTTAGGGGCTGACAGAGAATTATCATATGCTAGGTATAGTCATTTCATAAAAATAAGGTCTTCCTTTTTATAACCTCAAGTTAAGAAGAGCATAAACTCAAAAGGAAGCCCTTGCTACAGGAGTACAGTTGGTGACCTTCTCCTGTTTTTCTATCAGTTTCCTGAGGACTTATGAGGATGTTGTGGCAGATGGCCCATGCCTTCTGACTGGTGTTTGGAACCCTTAGCCCAGCCTCACAGCTCCCATAACCTAGGACCCTGCCTGGCACTGGTCAGGGTCTGAGTCGGACCCTGAGTGTCCAGATGGGCCCGGACCAGTCCCTTCCCAGCTCTGGAGCGTGGCCTTGGCACCTGTGGAATGATAGGGTTCCGCCTGGGCACTGAGACGGGTGCTAACTGCACCCCACACTGCCCAGGAAGAGGGAGGCCAAGCCCTGCGTGCTGCTGAGGGGACCGAGGGGGTGACCCGAGTCCCAGCCACAGTTGGGGGAGTGTGGTGGTCATTTCCTGGGGTGAGGGGCAGCCAAAGGAGGTGGGGGGAAGCAGCCAAAGTGGGTGGCCAGTTCCTGTCTCTGGCCCTTGGGGCAGCGCCTGGAGCTCCTGCCAGGCTCCCACACCTTGGCTAAGAATAGCTCAGCTCTTTCCTGCTGGCCTGCAGTCCCCCGGAGCCCAGAGGAAAGCCAGCCGGACCATCCAGCCTCAGGCTGGGCCGTCCCTTCCGGCCATTCTCTCCTCCGCTCGCTCACAGGGGGGATCAAAGGGCCGCCAGGGGTTGCACTTCTAGTTTCTGATGAAACCACCTAATAATAGCACCGTGGGGTGCAGAAAAGGGTGGTATTTGGGTCACTGCCGAAGGACAATGGGAGGCTGGAGGCCTTGAGACTGAGAGCTAAGGATTTGGGTGCTCAGGGTCAGGGGACGTGTGCCGGGGGGGAAGAGAAGGTCCTTGGGGGTCTTTGGGGGGGAAGCTCAGGTGCACGCAGGGGGTCCGACTGGGGCTCTGGGGGAAAGGACGTGCCTGCTGCTGGCCAAGGAGGCCAAGGAGGCCGAAGTGGGGCAGCTCCATAGCTGGCAGCAGCAGGTGGCCCGAAGACCACACTTTGAGAAAGAGCCAACAACAGGCGACGTGCCAGTCCAGAGAGCAGGTCCCTGCGTGAGGGGCTGGCCCTGTCCTGGCTCCCGAGCTAACTTCAGGACCATCCCTAGGTCCCAGTGACTCCGGTGACCATCTCATTTGTCATCCAAACAGAGACTTTTTTTTTTAAAGATTTTATTTATTTATTTATCCATGACAGACACAGAGAGATGCAGAGAGAGAGAGGCAGAGACACAGGCAGAGGGAGAAGCAGGCTCCATGCAGGGAGCCCGATGTGGGACTCGATCCCGGGTCTCCAGGATCACACCCTGGGCTGAAGGTGGTGCTAAACTGCTGAGCCACCTGGGCTGCCCCCAAACAGAGACATTTTTGATGGTGAAAGAGGATGTTTTTATTAACTATGCCAGGACAGCAGGCATAAACACAGCGGGTCCCGGGAAACCAGGGCATCTGGTTGCTCTAACCACTAACCATTGCTGCGTGTCCATGTTCTCCTCTCCTTAGCTCTTCAGGAGGAAGAGAGGAGATATAATCGATAGAAGAAGAAGAAGAAGAAGAGAGAAAAGGAAAGAAGAAAAGAAAAGAAAGAAAAGAGAAAAGAAAAGAAAAAGAAAAGAAAAGAAAAGAAAAGAAAAGAAAAGAAAAGAAAAGAAAAAAAAGAAAAGAAGAGAAAGAAGAAAAGTTGGGACCACAGAAACCTGGAGCTCCAGCGCTGAGCACGTCACAGGTCCCGTCCTTCATGAATCGGGTGGAGGAGTTTAATTACAGCCACAGAGGAGCTGTGCGCCAGAGCTGGGAAGGAAAGGAGAGCCTTTCTCAGGAAGTCCCATCGCTTGGCTGAGGTTGGGGGCTGCCTGCGTGGAGAGATAAGCCTCGCTGACAAACCAAGAGCAGCTTCAGTTCGTTGGTTTTCTGCAAGCTGAACCTCTGGGCTCGGGGCAAACGCCAGAGAAAGCCCCTGCACCCTCCTTTATTGCAAAATAACATCAGCTTTCACTTCACTGTCCACAGTCTATACAGATCCCTTGAACAAACAGGTCTATTGTTGGTTCGTTAATGAGCACGTAAGGAGCACATCCTATGTTATGTGCCAGCTGCTGTGTTCATTTCTGGAGACGTGAAAACAAACAGGGCAATGGTCCCATCTCCTAAGGTATTCTCAATCATTTAGGGGAACCAGAGGGCCAAACAGTTGGAGCCGTGATGGAGCAATGCTGCCCTGGTGGAGAAACCTGTTCCAGAGCCTCTTTTTCAGAATCACGGAAGACCTTCACCACCTCCCTTTAAACACAGGGCAGTTGTCCATATAGCAAACCCCTGGCTTACAGGGTGATGGGATCTACCGTGAGGCCTTTTGGAGGAGTTGTCAGGAGCGTGGGGGTCTTGGAGTCGATCAGATCCTGGATCGGGATTCTGGCTCCGCTAACTCCAAATTGTGTACCCTCAGCAAGTTTCTTCAGGCAGACGGTAATAGTGCCTGCTTCGTGAAGCAGAACGTTAAAGCTTTAAAGTGCACACGAATCACCTGGGGGATCTTGTTAAAAATGCAGATTCTGATTCAGGAGGTCTGGGCTGCAGCTCAGACAACAAGCTCCCAGATAGCGTCAATGCTGCTCATCCGAGGACCACACTTTGAATAGAAAGACCATAGGGACGCCTGGGTGGCTCGGTGGTTGAGCGTCCGCCTTCAGCTTGGGGTGGGATCTAGTCCCACATGGGGCTCCCTGCATGGGGCCTGCTTCTCCCTCTGCCTGTGTCTCTGCCTCTCTCTCTGTGTCTCTCATGAATAAATAAATAAAATCTTAAAAAAAAAAAAGAAGTGCTGAGCATGGTGTTGACAAGTGGTAAGCACTCCATTTATGTACCTTAGTGCTATTGAAATGAAATATTAAAATATTTATTTTCATTTAAGTATCTCCCCATATATTACTTATCATAATTTAAAACATAACTTCTTAAGCCAGGAAAACACCCCTTGTTACATTTCTTGGGTACCATATAATGCCAGTTTTGTCATGGTTCATGACAATGGAAAAATTCCAGAAGAGAGGAATGGGAGATTTAGAATTTGTTTCTAATACCACCCCACACCCTCCTGATATGCAGGGTGATGGGAACCCATTGAAATGTCACATCCCTCCTACAGAATATATCTAATTGTGGACACTGTGAGATAACACAGAACTATGGATACTGCGATGCCTTCACTCCCAGATCCAATACTAGCCGTAAAGAGAGGAACCAGGGTACAGATATCAAAAATATGATTAAAGTCTTGATATCTTTATAAGCTTTGATGATTTTTAGCTTTGGTCCCAAATTTGTTGAGACTCCTACCACTAAGAGGCAGGCTCTATGTCCCTGCTCTTTAAATCTGAGCAGGGTTGGGGCACCTGGGTGGCTCAGTAGGTTAAGTGTCTGAGTCTTCATTTTGGCTCAGGTCATGATCTCACGGTCATGGGATCGAGCCTTGTGTCGGGCTCCATACTCAGCCTGGAGTCTGCTTCAGATTTTCTCTCTCTCCCTCTCTCTGCCCCTCCTGCACGTGCTCTCTCTCTCTCTCTGTCTCTCTCTCTCTCTTTCTAAAATAAATAAATAAAATTGAAAAAAAAAGTCTGAACTGTCTTGTGATCCCTTTGACTAATAGAAGATGATGCCAGCACTGCTGAGGCACTTCAGAGGCTAGATCAGAAAGGGTCCTGCAGTGTCCTCCTTTTTCTGGGAATGCTTGCTTTCTTGACATGCTCCCTCTCCTGGAAGCCCACCGCCACTTGCTACAGGGAGAGGCCCCATCCAGGCACTCCGCTGACAGCCCCCACTGAGCCCAGCCTTTCCAAGTCCCAGATCATGCAGCAGGTATAGAAATGAAGGAGCCACTGGCCACTCCAGGTTCCCCAGCTGAGGCCCCAGGCCCATGGGGCAGAAACAAACCCTTCCTGCTGTGGCCTGACCCACAGAATCCTAGAACGTGATGACATCCTCGTTGCTTGATGTCAATACGTTCTGGGGTGATTTGTTACTCAGCAATAAGTAATTCAAACATAAGCAATGTTTTTTATTTAGAATAAGAAAATATAATGAGCCCTTACTTAACAGATGTTGAATTTTATGTGCTATCAAGTTAATAACCTACAGGGAAACATCAAATCTCTAACAACTTAAGTTTAAATTCTGTAATTATTATACTGTGTCATTAGAAGAGGAGGAGTAAATAGTGAAAGCAAAACAAAAATAAAACCGGGCTTTAGAAGCAGACAGACCTGGATTTGAATGTCAACTTCAGGGATGCCTGGGTGGCTCAGTGGTTGAGCATCTGGTTTCGGGTCATGCTGTGATCCTGGGGTCCAGGATCGAGTCCCACATTGGGCTCCTTGCAGGAACCCGCTTCTCCCTCTGCCTGTGTCTCTGCTTCTCTCTCTGTGTCTCTCATGAATAAATAAATAAAATCTTAACAAATAAGATAAAATAAATAGATGAAATCTTTGAAAACAAATAAAACTTACCAGTTGTGTGAAAGGCAAGTAGGTTTACTTTTCTCTATCTCAGTTTTCAGCTCTATTAAAAGGGATAATAATATCAAATGCATAGGAATTGCAGGAGATATTGAATACAAATAATTATAATAAGCACATACATAATTATTATTAGTCCCAAAAATATCTCTAGGGAAAAATGAGCCCTGAGAATCACGAGCACATATGAGATGGGAAGCTAAGCCACGGCAGTGGGGAAGATAGGCGGGTTTCTGAAGAAGCTGTCCCCTAAATTAATCCTTAACATGAGTGAGAATAAGTAAGTCAGATATTCTCAGACTTCAGAATTTCAAAGATTTCCAAAAAATTCTGGAGACAGATCTAGGGAAAAAATATTTCAAAGAGCCTTATGCCAGCCAAAACAATCCTGAAGCTGGAGATCTTCTATTATCCTATATTCAGGTCAACTATGAAGATATAGTAATTAAGATCATGTGGTTCTGAGGGTGCCTGGGTGGCTCAGTTGGTTGGGCCTCTGACTTTTGGGTCCTGCTTAGGTCATGATCTCATTGAGCCTGGCTTGGGGCTCCCTGCTCAGCACATAGTCAGATTGGGGACTCTCGCCCTCTGCCCCTTTCCTCACTTGTAGGCTCTCTCTCTTGCAAATAAATAAATCATTTTTTAAGGTTTTATTTACCTATTCATCAGAGAGAGAGAGAGAGAGAGAGAGAGAGAGAGACAGGCAATATATGTGCTTATTATAATTATTTTTATTCAATATCTCCTGCAATTCCTATGCACTTGATATTATTATCCCTTTTTATAGAGCAGAAAACTGAGATAGAGAAAAGTAAACCTGCTTACCTTTCACATAACTGGTAAGTTTTATTTGTTTTTAAAGATTTCTTCTATTTATTTTATCTTATTTGTTAAGATTTTATTTATTTATTCATGAGAGACACAGAGAGAGAAGCAGAGACACAGGCAGAGGGAGAAGCAGGCTCCATGCAAGGAGCCCGATGTGGGACTCGATCCTACAGCCCGGGATCACGCCCTGAGCCAAAAGCAGACAGACGCTCAACTCCTGAGCCACCCCGGGGTCCCTCAAATCAATAAATCTTAAAAAAAGAAAAAGATTGCATGGTTCTGCAACAAGGATATGAACAGAACAGAGAATTCAGAAATGCACCCGTGCACATTTGGTCAACTGATTTAAACAAAAACGACTAACGCAGAGACTATGAAGCAAACAGAGGAGGAGTAAGAGGTGCGAGGAGAACAAGGAACATTGAGGGTCGCAGAGCCAAGGGGATGACAGGGCTCAGGGGGCTGATAGAGTGAGCAGAGTCAGGTGCAACCAGGGTCTATCAGACCAAAAAGTAACTTGGAATTTGACTTTCAAGGAGTTGTTGTAACGCAAATGTCAGCTCTCCCAGCAAAGTGGAAAGTGGTTTACGGGGTAAGTAGAGGTGATGGGCCAGAGGTAGGAAGTGTGAGCAGCTCCTCTAAGAACTCAGGGTGAGTGGGAAGGCAGGGGGGTCACAGCAGGTGTCAGTGACAGGACTGCCTTATTTATTTATTTATCTATTTATTCATTCATTCATTTATTTATTTATTTATTTTTATCAAGGGCAGTTGAGGTTTGAGAATGTTTGTAAGCTGAGGACACAGTGACTGTGGAGAGGGGAAAGGAGAACACGCATGCCATGGAGACGTGCTATTGCCAGTCCAGGGGAAAATCAGTGTCTTCTGGGGGCAGAAAGGAAGATGAAGAGTCAAGAGTAATACATGGAAAAAAAAAAGAATAACACATGGATAGACTGTATTTTATGAATCTTTAGATGTCTCTAGAGACTTCTATATTAACATTCCAGTTAAAATAACCCCATTTCTTGGGCATCCTCAGTTATATCTCGAAGGCCTTTTAGCTGCTTAAAAAAAATGGATTTTGGAATATTTCAGGCATGAAAAAGGCCATCAAGGGTGATGTAAGGATCTTGCGAGCCTTTTACTCTCCTTAAGAAATAGAGCGTTACCAATACAATTAAAGACCTCTACGTGCTCCTTTCCTGATAGCAACTCTGCCTCTCTCCACGCCGCCCGCAGGAAATTGCCATCCTGAGTTTGGTGTTTACTTTTGAGCATTTCTTTATACTTATACTTTTTTTTTAAAAAAAAAAAGATTTTATTTATTTATTCATGAGAGGCACAGAGAGAGAGGCGGAGACACAGGCAGAGGGAGAAGCAGCCTCCCCGCATGGAGCCGGATGTGGGACTCAATCCCAGGACCCCAGGATCATGACCTGAGCTAAAGGCAGATGCTCAACCACTGAACCACCCAGGTCCCCTTATACTTACTTTATACTTATATTTTATACAAATATATTTGTATTTATCTTATAAAATATACTCATATCTTATACAAATGTATTTTTATTTCTTATACAATATACTTATATCATACAAATATATTTGTATTTATTTGATGTTTATCATATTTGTACCTTCTAAATGAATGGCATTCCTATACACTAACAATGAGACTGAAGAAAGAGAAATTAAGGAGTCAATCCCATTTACAATTGCACCCAAAAGCATAAGATACCTAGGAATAAACCTAACCAAAGAGGTAAAGGATCTATACCCTCAAAACTATAGAACACTTCTGAAAGAAATTGAGGAAGACACAAAGAGATGGAAAAATATTCCATGCTCATGGATTGGCAGAATTAATATTGTGAAAATGTCAATGCTACCCAGGGCAATTTACACGTTCAATGCAATCCCTATCAAAATACCATGGACTTTCTTCAGAGACTTAGAACAAATTATTTTAAGATTTGTGTGGAATCAGAAAAGACCCCGAATAGCCAGGGGGAATTCTAAAAAAGAAAACCATATCTGGGGGCATCACAATGCCAGATTTCAGGTTGTACTACAAAGCTGTGTTCATCAAGACAGTGTGGTACTGGCACAAAAACAGACACATAGATCAATGGAACAGAATAGAGAACCCAGAAGTGGACCCTGAACTTTATGGTCAACTAATATTCGATAAAGGAGGAAAGACGATCCACTGGAAGAAAGACACTCTCTTCAATAAATGGTGCTGGGAAAATTGGACATCCACATGCAGAAGAATGAAACTGGACCACTCTCTTGCACCATACACAAAGATAAACTCAAAATGGATGAAAGATCTAAATATGAGACAAGATTCCATCAAAATCCTAGAGGAGAACACAGGCAACACCCTTTTTGAACTTGGCCACAGTAACTTCTT